TGCTTTTTAGAATGCAGAATAGGAATTTAAAGTTTATAAAAAAATGAGCAAACAGAAAACAAACATGAACTTCCTAAATTAACTCTTGCCCACGCACAAAGCTGTTAAATACATAAAAACTGAAAATCTGCAAATGAGCATACAATTAATACCGCATATACAAATGTGGTTGTTAACTTCATGTGTATTGTGGTAGCAGTTTACAACTTTGTGTAGTGTATGGTATAAGGGCAACAGTTCACTGTTTTACACGCAGTGTCCAGTGCAGTCTGTTGTAGTAAATGTGTCAATGTTTTAGTCCATGAAATGTTAAGCTAACGTGGAATTTCCAGGCATTTAAGAAAAACCACCTATAACCCACAAATGGTCAAGATGCTTAAAGCGTAAAAATGCAAAGCCTAAAAACAGTAGGTTACAGTGATCATCAAAGGACTGCTTTTAATTTAAAAAAAAAAAAATACTTCTAATAAGCAGTAAATGCCAATGAAATTTTAGTGACTCCCTCTATACCATAACATTAAAGGTCCAATATCAGAAACCTAAAGAACAACATCATGTAAAAAATTACAGTGAGTTGCTTAATACTTGTTAGAAAGCCAAAACATGTTAAAATATGGGCAGGGAAGAATGGGGAATGGGACACTGAGTGGTACAGGGAACCCATGGAGTTGTACGGTATTGATGGTTTCTTCCTCCTCACTGTTGTGTTTTCTTGAGGTTTTTTTTGTTTGCTAACATACTCTGTGCTTTGTTCTTTCTTCATTACTTTGCAGTTCCATGTTACATTTGAACTTCTTGTATATACGATGTGTTTTACATACGCTGGATGCTTTTCTTTGTTCCGTTATTCCCCCAAACTGTTTTTGCCCAGTTCTCAAGGTTGGTGTCCTCTGACCAGTAATTAGCAGTTGGTGAGTTGTTTATAGCCTTGAGGCCTCTGATACCATCCTGTGCCTTTATTTTCAAGGCCTCTGCTGTCATTCTATGCTTGTGCTCCTCTATGCTGCTTTTTATTCTGGGGTCGTAGGTAATTCAGCCCCTACAGAATAACTACTTGTTATTGAGATCTATTAGTTACAGAAATACGCACACACTCTGTCTTATTTGTATATACAATCTGTGTGTGTGCGTGTACTTATGTATAGCTTTCACTTGGCTTCAGACAATTGTGTGATGTAACACCTATTGGTTTTACATATATTTATATATAATATATATGCAATATATGTAACACTTATATGCAAATGTATATATTTAAATATTATTTATGTATAAGCTGTGTGTATTTGATATATAAGTATTTATAAAAACAGGTGTCACATCACACAATTGTCTGAAGCGAAGTAAAAGATATACAAATTAGATAGGTCACCTGGTCTTTAGATAATTGCCGTTAGAGTTGGACAAGCTAAAACAAAGCCCCAGGCAGGCCAAGACAAGTGCAGAGGCCTGGTTATTAGCTTAACATGAGGCCCGTGGCCTGTTACAAGCAATGTCAACACCTTGTTTATGGGGTTACACCGTTCTCTTAAGAAGATGCAACCATAGGTGTCCCATCTTTGACTTGCAAAGTTTCAGTTAACAAAAGATTCATGCATAAGTGAATGCAGAGAGTAATTCTGCTCAGCTTTATTTTACTAGCTGACTTCACTAAAATTACATATCCTTTTCTGTAGGAAAGGTGTATGTGGAGAGTTTGGCTTGACAATGAGATTTTTAGAATGTGCACTGATCTTAAGTTATCCTGATTGCAAGTGTACTCTCTGAATATATAGCAAAAAGTATCAGACACTCCGCATACCAGTAGAAATGGCAAGCAGAGGCCTTATGTCTGATTTCTAAGGAGCAGGGAAGAAATCTATCTGAAGGAATGGTGTCATGTTGCTGGTTGGAATCCTTGTCCTCGGAGGCAGATCCTCTAGACAGAATTGATGTAAGTTCTTGAAGTGCCATCAAATATACTTAATTTAGGAGATGTAAGAATTTGTTTGCTTCTGCTGTTCTGTTAATTACTGGGTTGTGGTTTTAAGTGAACCTGGAACTCCCTTGTGAAGTCGATTTGGGTTTCAATTTATATTCAGTAGATAACTTTCCTGTTTGCTTTAAGAGTGAACAGTTTTAGTTTCTAGTGTATCACATTACTGGTGAATGAGCCTGTTCAAAGAACGAAACTGAGTGGAGAATATGAGAAGGGGGGAAAAATAGTATATCGGCAAACTGCTTGTATTTGGTCAACTTCTACTGTAATGAATACTGAAAAAAATACTGTGTCTCTCACCGCTGCTCAGCTTTTCACATTACTAATAAGTTAAGAAAAATTGTTTTCTTTTTCATGTCTTAAGAGTCTTCCTTTTCAGAACTGGTGGTCTGTCACTTGCTTTGTATAGACTTTTATTCTTGTTGCCATCAAACATATTGCTGATTTGGCTACTTAATGTGGTTTTACTTGTAAGCTGATGTAATTCCAGGATGATTTTCTGCGTTGCCTACCATTCATCAGTTTTTGTCACTTTGGCTTTCCTGAAACTTTGTGCTCCTATTTTTTAAGTGTCAGTCAGCTGTTCTTTTAATGTTCCCCCTCTAGTTAGAAATGTTCCCCATCTGCATTTTCTTTTACTATTGTGTGATACCTGATTTGAGTTATTTTTCTGTAACTTAGTTTGAGATATAATCTGTCTTGGAATTAATATGGGAGGAAGGGGCTGGGACATGAAAAAAGCACATCTAGCTTGAAGAGGGAATCTCATAAATGTAACTTAAAAAAAAAATAGTATTTTACTACCTGCTATTTGTAAGAATTAGGGAAATGTTAGAACTTTTCATGTGCTCATAATGCATCCACAGATTAATATGACTTCAGTAGATATTTAAGTGTGTTCATGTAACAAAATATTTTTGTGAGCTGATACATTGCAGTAGACCAGAAGAAGAAATTTTATTTAGGTTAGATTTCTGAGTTTCTGGCTTTAAAAAAAATGTAAATGTCCAGCACTCATTCCTTGTGTACCTAGTGCCTTCAGGGTGCATAGACTGTTTGCCTATACTCATAAGTACTTAATGTTTGCATTCTGAATAGTAAAAATGTAAATAAATGTTTAAAAAAAAAAAAGGTAGATATTATCATATAGACACCAATTTCCTAGAAACTTTTTTTGTGGATTTGGAGCACATTCAGGATAAACAGAACCTAATCCCCATATTAAGTGGTGTATATATTTCTGACATCTTTGAATAGTAGGCATGTTGTGGTGTCCTTCATAGAGAAGTGGAGAAGATGTATGAGAAATAATGTGCTTTTTGAAACAAGTCATTCTGCAGTATCAATAAATGGCTACCTCCGCTGGCAGGGACTTAAAAGAATAGTAGCAGAATTTAGAATCGGTGCTCTAGATTTCTGTTGCAAAACAGTTGCACAAATAACCCCTTCCCATAAATAATGCAGTAATCTTCCTGGCTTGGTTGCTGTGGAAGGACCGGGGGGGGGGGGGTAATCTTTACTTGGTGTGCTTGATTGATGTATTAATGTTAATGCAGCTACAAGACAAATTTGCAACTGAGGGAGCTAATGTGAAAGATAGATTTAAAGGCAATTTGTATCTCTTAGGCTGCTTTGCTCCTGTATATCTAGGTCACTTAACATCTTCTGCAGCCCTCACTGCTATTTCTTCCAATCAGCAGTGCTAAGAGCAAGTATAACTTTAAAAATTAATGTAAGCAGTTGATAGGAATTTGACTCTTGCTCAGAGAAAAGATACAAATGGAATTTGAGAATTGCTTTTTTCTGAATTGGTAGAGATCAGGAGTGCAATATCTATATATAAAAAAAAAATCTAAGACTGGAATACCAGCAACAGTAAGACTTCTCTCATTTGCGTGGTCTTTCTTTTGTGGTGCAGCTCTATAAAGGAATTAGTTATTGTGACTCTGTTGCTGACTCTGGGCTGCTGCTGAAAAGCTACAAGATTCTGCAGATTAGAGTCCTCCTTATTCATGGCTGGGTCCTATTTACTAATTGGGCTAACTGTGTCTGTATGTTTATCTTCTGTGAAGTTGGTGTAATTAAAAACATGAGTTTACAACTCCTGTTTAGCAGATTTTTCCTTTGAAGAACAGACTGAAAGCTTTACAAGACTAGTTCATTTGTCTGCCCTTCCCTTAGCCTGTACCTTTTCAGATTTTTTTTTTTTTAATGTGAGTGTTTATGGATGTGATTACAGTTGTGGTAGCAAGTTTCATATGCTTGTACTTCCATAGAAACACCTTTGATGCTTCTTTAGATTGTGTTATTTTTATTGGTGCTTCATGTAGTTGATAGGATGTCCAAAAAAAACCCTAATGCAGCCAGATTCTTGTTCCCCAGAAGTTTCCAGTTGAGTCTTCAGGGTTATAGGAAAAGCTGTTTATTAGTTCATAAGTATGACTTGTAATTCATACTGTTAAAGTTTCATCCTATTTCTGTTACTTAGACTGAAAAAGCAGATGATGACCCATCCTAATCAATTTCCTTTTTCCTAACTTCTTGCAACTTCTCTCTCTTGCTGATTTAGTCAGTATCCTTCTATTTCTGTGGTCATTTAATGAAAACATATACTACAAAAAAGACCTTCTAATATTGCCCTTGAACAGTAGATTTCAGATAACCAAAGGCTACATTAGCTGAAATTACGTGTACCATAACTTGAAGTATAGACACCCATCCCTTCCACTGTTCCACTGCAGTTATTCCGTATGCTTCTGCTGTTCCTGCTGCAGATCATGCTGCCGGGGTCGGTGGCAGAAGCCCAAAGTGAGTGGGGACACAGGCTCTGAGATATGGGGTGTAGGGAGTGAGTTGTGTATCCTGTGGGGAGGTTTGTGTGATCTTGGTGATACAGCTTCATCTGTAATAGGTAGGTTAAAGTAGTAGGTATCTAATTTGTTTTGCAGGAGGAAGATGTTGTTAAAATCAGAATGTTATAGTAACTATAAAGGCTAACGTCTCAATTTTTTCACATCTTTAGATATTCAAGAGTTTTATGAAGTGACCTTATTGGACAATCCAAAATGCATTGATCACTCTCAGCCATCTGAACCAATACAGCCTGTCAATACCTGGGACTTTTCCAGCCTTCCAAGCACAACAGTGACATCAGAAACACTGCCGAGCAGCCTTAGCCCAAGTGTAGAGGTATGATGTAGAAATCTCTCTTTTATTTTTTCTTGTTGAGACTATTAGTTCAACATTGTTCTCTACATTTTCTTAATTTTATAAAATATTTATTTCCATAGAAAACTTACATTATTAAGATCAATAGTCATAGGGGATTTAATTATTGAAATGTTTAATAACAGATGTGTGCATTTTGCTTGGTAAAAAATTTATAAACTTATTTGTCAAATGTACCATTAAGTGACCATTAAATTGGATTTATGCTCTGAATTTGGAGCCTTGCTGACAGGCTTAGTGTGCTTATATTCATCCATACTGATGACTCTTCAGTCATTACTTCATTAATAATTTGGGAAATCTGAAGCTATATCATTCTGATAGTAAACTTTTCAGACTGTTCATAAGAAATTCTCTGCTACTTATACAGCTGTGTTTTGGAAGGACTTTTTTTTTTGGAAAACTACGTGAATCCAGCTGTGACTAGTGAGTGGTGAGAAAACTGAGTAGGAAAATGCACATTGATGTATATTTTCACTAAATCAGGATCTCCCTGCCCAAGTTCAAGTTATAATGTTGCTTGAATTTTTTTGCATCAGACCATTATTTGTTCCCAAAGAGGTGAGCTTTGTTTCAAGTGTGCCCTCAATACTGACAGCTTTGGAAAACGTGTGTGAGCTTCTCAGTAATAACTGAAGGCAGTGTGCTGTGATGATCCATTTTCATGAAATGATCATAGAGCTCAGGAAGATCACTGGGGGACACCAGCCAAAGGACTAGTGCTGCAGCCTGTAGGGAAGCTTGGGAGCTTGTACTACCCAGCAAAAGATCAAGTGGTTAGGATGCCTTACTGTTTGGACTGTGTACGAAAGTCCACTTAGCTGCAGAACATAAGAATCATGTGATGTGCTAGTGAGTTTGTGCAGGTAAAAAAAGAAAGTGCGTGTGCTTATTGTAGCTTTTCTGAAATTTGTCATATTGAAGCTAGTATGAAATGTGTCAGTGTCGTGGTTTAAACCCAGCTGGCAACTAAGCCCCACCCAGCTGCTTGCTCGCTGTGCAGCCATCTCCAGGAAAGCAGGGCTCCATCACATGTAACGGTTACTTGGGAAGACAAACGCCATCACTCCAGGCGTCCCCCCCCTTCCTCCTTCTTCCCCCAGCTTTATATGCTGAGCATGACGTCATATGGTGTGGGATATCTCTTCTGGGGTCTGGGGTCAGCTGTCCCGGCTGTGCCCCCTCCCAGCTTCTCCCCAGCCCCCAGCTTTATATGCTGAGTCATATGGTGCTGGGGTCAGCTGTCCCGGCTGTGCCCCCTCCCAGCTTCTCGTGCACCCCCAGCCTGCTCGCTGGTGGGGTGGGGTGAGAGGCAGAACAGGCCTTGACTCTGTGTCAGCACTGCTGAGCAGTAACTAAAACCTCCCTGTGTTATCAACACTGTTTTCAGCACAAGTCCAAAACGTAGCCCCATACTAGCTACTGTGAAGAAAATTAACTCAATCCCAGCCAAAACCAGCACAGTCAGAAATGCCTTAAAGGAAGCTATAGAGGAAATCCAAGAGTTGTGTTGTGTTCTCTCAGAAAGCAGAAAATGTATAGTAGATAAAAGATCAGCTTTTTACCCTAGCCAGGGACAAGAGTTATATATGGCCAAGAATAGTCATTAAAATATCATTATGTGAAAAAAAAACTGAGCAGCCTAGGTATAGCGTATTTTTCAGGTTTCTAAGTAATTGAACACTGAGGGATTAAAAGTCTAGTTGAACTTGCAGTGTGGGAATGGATTATTTGCGTTTGATTTTTGTGGATCTTGATTATACACTGGAAAACTTAAATTGTATGCCTCCCTGGAATCTTAGTCACCTGAAATTTCATAGAGAAGGCCACTGTCATCAGTCACCTTAATGAAAATTTTCCCTAAGAATTGTCATCTTTGGAGAAAATAGAGTAATGCTAGGGTATATGAGAAATAGTATGGAAAACACCATTGTGCTATTTACTTGTATGCCCTCATCTAAATCTTAGGCTTAGAGCCGTAGAACTTATCTTTCTGAAGGTATGGTGGAAATGGAGTCTCTTAGAAGCAGGAGCAAAATGGACTGTAGACAATAGGGTAGGCAAGGATTGGCAAAGTTTATTTAGTCTACTGACGTGTTTTGAAATAAGCTGGTTCTAATGCATTTCGTGTTTGCATGTGCAAAGAACTTAATGAGGCAATTTAAGAGTCATTACAGTTGCCCTCAGTCACGGAGGATGGATGAAGTTTTGGAAAACTGCAGATGGGCAAACACTGTCTTTTAAAAAGGGCGTATATAGGAGGAGCAAGGCAGGAAAGGAGGATCCAGGTTTAACAGGTACAGGGAATGATTCTACTGTCTTTTTGTAGTTCCTTGAAAACGATAAAGGAGCTGAATAGCCGCCATCATAGTTGTTGATAACAGTTTTGTCAAACTTAGTTTCTTTCTAATGTGGTAATAGTTCTTGTGGTAGGAAGAAACAGTAAAAAAATTCTGACTTCAGTAAAACTTCTGGCATGGTTTACCAGGCTATCTTTTGAGATAATATATCAGTTAGTTTCTAAAAAATGCATCCTAGTTTGAGTTACTAGTGAAAATATCCTGATGAAACTATAAATTAAACTGCGGGAGGGGAATAGTGTGTTGCTGGTTCAGAAGCTAAGACTAGAACGAAGCCTTGAGCAGTTGAAGTAATTAATGGGCAGGCTCTAGTTCAGCAGGACCAAGTACAGTGTCCTGCGTTTTGGTTGTACTTCAGTAGCACCCACAGAAGTTGAATAGTTAAGAAGTGATTTCTCAGAAAAGATCTGGGTCATTTTTGAATCTCAAGGTGAGTCAACCATGTCATGTTAATACATGGAAAAGAAACACCTTATTGACATAAGAGTGTGGTGTAAAACTGTTCTGTTCTACTTGGTCTATATAACGCTTTGCTGGAGATATTGTCAAATTTAAGGTACTGTGGTGCAAAAAAGATGTTGAAGAATTTAAGTGCTTAGAAGAGATTGAGAGGGAAGATCTAAAGCTTGAAAAGAAATGAAGACCAATGGAAAGATTTGGTGCTGCTTAAAAGAATTAAACACTTCATCAGGAAACAGAATTTTCCTGTGTTTGTAGGCAAATGTAAAAAAAGGAAGATAATACTTTGTGCCTATAAAAGATGTATTAGATTTACATTATAGTAATAGGCTTAGCAAAAATGTTTTAAATGTTTTCCTAAGCACCAGAATAGTTGTACGTGGGCAGTCTCCCTTATTGAAGGTCTTGAAAGGCAGCGTGTCTTAAATGGCTTAAATGTGGTGTCGTCCCCACACACACACACACACACCTTGGAACGATGTAATGGACTTGAGGATTTATGTCCCTACCAAACCATTTTGTTGTTAAACATGCTCCTAATTCCAGCAGCTGTGAAGCAGTATCTGCTGCTATGAGACTTGTGTTACAAAGTTCCAGCTGCAGCACATGTTTTGTGCTTCCCCTATAGGGGAAACCTGCTGAAATCTGAAGTGCAGGATAGTGCATACTGTTAAATCCAGACTTTGTGATTATTCTCCCCGGCCCCCTCCAGAAACTGGAAAGTTTATCTTATAGAAGTTTGCTTATTTTGCTACGAAGAAGTCCCCAGTAAGAAAGACTAACTTATCAGCTAAAGGGTGGTGGTGTCCCTGTGTCTTTCTAAATTTTGCATAAAGATGCATGTGAAGGTGTAATTTAATTATGAAGTTGCATCTTTAGCTTTTATTCTCATGTGCTAGCAGACTGCCAGTAATACAAGGACTTGTCCGTGACACTGCACCAATGACAAAAGACACATTATCGTGGCAAGATCACAAACTTGTTGAAAGGAAGAATGACCTAATTTGGGAAGTCTCACCATAGACATAAGTGTATGTTCTCAGCTGAACTGTTTGCTAGATAATGCAACTGCTTCTCTAGTCCAGTCTGGTGGTCATGGTATATATAGTGTTACCTAACAGAACCTGATATAGCGTGGATTGCTTTGTTGTTTTTCTAAGTGACCCAGATTTGAACACTTATGACAAAGCCACCTGTCTTCCTTCAGATTTTTTGTCTCGAGTATCATATGAAAGTCAGACAGTTGTTTGACCTTCAGTATATGAAGGTCAGATTTTACATTTACTGCCAGTATTTAAAAGCATAGTTGTATATATTGGTGTTGATGCTAGTTTATGTGAAACTGAAACCAAACTTTTCTCACAGTCTCTGTCACCTACAGTAAATGTTACCTTGTATTTCATTAGTTAGAATACTGCTTCCACATTATAGATGTAAAGGTGGACAATTTTTAGTGGTAGTTCAGTGTTGGTTTCGTTTGCTTTTTCTAGTATATCTGAATGTCTTAGTTTAGCTTTCAAATATAAGTGAAAATTGTTACAGTAAACATATCATCTTGTACATATTATCAGCTTTAATTCTTTCTTCTTCAGTGACTTTCTCCTTCATCTATTGCCTGTAAGGCAATACCTTTCCCTCAATATTTTGAAATTTAATAAAAATTATGAGGAGAAATTCTTATGTGTTGACAGTTTATGTTCCACATACTTGCTATGTGTAGTACATGAAAAGTAATGTTTTTATCCTGTAAAACTTAATGCATTTTGGTTTCAATAATATGTTTCTTTCTTAGGTACTTAGGGTTTTTTATATTTGGTTTTAATGAACCCGAGGGCATAATGATTCTGATACAGTATGTGTTTAATCTAATGATTTGTTTTGCTTGCTGAAACTTACTAGAGATTGGAGGGAACTTGAGTTTAGTATATCTGATTCTTTTCGTAGCCAGCTTTTTTTTCAACAGAAACTGTCACTTTTTAGACCTGCAGTGCGGCTGCCCAATTCAATATTAGTTCATTAACCAGATATAACCGGATCAGCATACCAGATGCACTTTGAGGTTATTTTAGCTCTGTTGCTTGCCAGGCTGGTAGGACCTGTAGGTGATAAGAATGGGACAGTTTTTTCTTGCTTGCAAACTGT